GGCCAGGCTGAAGCAACAAGGAACTCTAGACAGAGCTTAATTAAGCTCTAGACTGAACGCCTATTAATTGGTAAAGGCTTAGAGAGAAAAGCGAAGGCGCGAGTCCCCTGAGGGCTGGAGCAGTGGAGGAAAGCTGGATGAAGGAGGTGGGCTGTGAGTGTCGGGACCAGGACAACCATAACACAGACCTGTGGCACTCGCTTGTCAGGAAGGTGCCCTGGGCTGATGGCACTTGCAGACCACAGGACTGCAGGTCCTCCCAGGGGAAAGGGCCGTGCACCATTCTCTCCACATGGCCCTGGCTTGGCTGGAAGTCCTCACCCCATGCAGACGTCTTGCAGCATGTGGATCTGTGGGCTGACCTGTGTCTTTTGGGTCCCGAGTGCTTGCTCAGTCCCTAATGAACATGTGTGCCATGATCCAATGGACAGAACCAAAAGACAAAAAGCAAGACATCAAAGAATAGAGTGCACCACCTCCCCACACTCACCTCCAAAACTGAAAATTTCCCCCAAACGGGGGAAATGGGCAAGGGCTGCAATCCCATGGCATGCTGCAGCCCTGAAGGTCGGTGTTTGCACAGAGGAACCCCTCGCGTGAGGTGCTGGGAAAAGGACAGTGACAACCCATCATTACCAGTGTCAGCGAGGTCTGAAACAGCCCCAACATGTCCACGAGACAATGCACAACATATCAGAGCTTTAGTAGGTATCTTGGATCATTCTAGAACTAAAGTATAACCCCTCCCCTGGTCAGTAGTGCAGCTGAGAGGCTCAAGGCACCAAGGGGTCTTGTGTCCGATCACACAGCTAGTCTAATGGCACAGGCTGGCCCAGAACCCAGGTCTCCTGACTCCCCATCCAGAGCTCCCTGGGGGCTAGGAGCAAAGCGGGGCTGGAGTGAGGCAGGTGGGGCCCGCCACTGGGATGCAAAATGTAAGGGGGCACCAAAATGTCAGTAATCACAATAAATAACATTTGAGATCTTGCTCCCTGGCATATGTCATTAGTCTGGCTCAAATAAACTCTTACCCCCCCCCCAAAAAAATTAAATAAATAAATAACATTTTCATAGAATATTTTTAATCAAAATTAGTACAAAACAAATCTATTATGAGCAAAATATCAACTTTTAAAAGAAAGCTTCAAGTAAAGTTGTGCCCTTGCATGCCCCAGCCTCACCCCCTGCACCCCGATCCCGGCCAGGACAGGTCTCAGTCAGATCCCAAGGTGACACTGCCTGAGACCTGAAGGAATGGCTGTGTGGAAATCCGCGGGAAGGCCACTGCAGACAGAAGGACGGAGCCTGCGTGGGGTGTCCGAGGCACAGAGAGGAGGCCGAGTGCCTGGAGCAGTGACTGCAGGCAAAATCGTCCCAGCCCCACCCCAATTCAACAAGCTGCAAACCGCCCCCGCTCCCCCCCCACACACACACACTCACACACAAACACCCAGTTAGGTTCCCCCCACCCCAGAGAGCTAAGGAAGAAAACCAGCACCCCCACCCCCTCCCCACACTCACCTCCAAATAACCAGTTACCTTGCAAATCTAAGCCTTTTCGTCTCAAGGGAGAAGATGGATAAAAAAAGTTTGGAGAGCTCTGCATAACCCTTTAGGCCATAGAAAAACAACCCAGAACTTTATGACTAACTGACAGTTGGTTATGAATGGGAAGGAAGGCATATCCTTAAACCGCTGACAGCAACTCCCTTTTAAGGTGTTTCCTCGGGGCCAGAGGCGCCAGGCGCGTGCTGCCACCCATACCGATAGCGGCTTGTTTTTCAGTGCCACGGCTTGGGCTTTAGGTCACACAGACCTGGATTCAGATACAGCTTTGCCATTTACTATCGGACCCTAGACAATTTACCAGCGCAAGAGACCAGCAATAAACCATTCCCTGGGCCCGTGGTAACTTAAAGGACGTAATGTGGGCTGAGGGGCAAACCACAGGCAAGAGCTGGGGAGGCCACGACCCGGCACCAGCACACCATCCCGTGAGGGATGTCAGCCAGGTCTCCCAATGTATCAAAAGGAAAAAAAAAGAACTTATGTGAACTCTCCCAACTTTTAAAGGTTGGCAACTAATTCAAAATTGTTTAAAAAAATTTAACCCAGCAGGGCCAAATATAACAGGTCTGTGAGCCAGAGCCCCACCTATTGGCCCAGTGTGTACCTCTGACATTCAGCAACCCCCCCTGACACCTGGAAGGTGCTCAGCAAGCAAGGAGCATCCCATCTTTTCAGAAAACTTTCACAGGCAGCACCAACATCTATTTCCACACAACAGCTTGGGAAGGAATGCTTCTCAGGCGGAAAATGAAGATATGAAGAGCTGAAAATCTGGAAGGCTCTAAAGGGAGGGGGGACTGAAAAGAGGGAATTCCTTAAAAGGATTTAAAAGAATTTTATTGGACATAGTTTAGCACAAGTCAAGGATAAGATCAGGCAGTAATTTAACTCCTGGGCACAGCAAGTGAGTCTGTGTATGTGAGGTGGATGAGGGCGGTGGGGGGAGGCAGGAAAGGAGGGAGGGACTACCCTTCTTGATGGTTTCCACCCAGTGTCTCAGGGTCTTCTGTTCATGGGTCACCCCAACATTTGTCTCAGGTGCACAGCGTTCTGACAGGCCCAGCCATTGGGAGCAGCTCCTCACAGAGGTGCTCATAGGTCCAGCTGCCCCCACACAATAGGCAGTAAGGCTTCAATCCCCAATGGATCTGGTAGCTCAGTTGGGCTTGGAAGTGAGACCAAGTCGGGCTAAGCTTCAAACTTTCAGCATCAGTGGTTCTCACACTCTGATCCCCAGACCAGCAGCAACAGTATCACCAAGGAACTTATTAGAAGGGTCCCTCTAACCAGAAATTCGGGGGCGCTGGGGTCAATCATGTGGGTTTTAACAAGCCCTCCATAGGGTTCAGGTAACATCCTCGAGGTCCCTCTGAGATAGTGAAATCTGCCCCATAGGACGGTCCTGAGTGTTCCACCAACAATTATTTCCGAGGCCTGGTGTGTCTGCGCTAGGCGGTTCGGAAGATGCTGGGAGGGCAGCACACAGCCCTGGCCCTGATGGAGCTTGGTGTCTCGAGGGAAGACCAACAATGAGAAGGGAAAACATATATAAAAACCCCAATTTTCAGATGGCAGAGGCAGGCCGAGGCCTGACCCTTCACACAGAGCTGCTTCTCAAAGTGTACTCCAGGGACCACCTCTCCTGCACACCCGCCCCAGTCCCCTCTCCGATGTCCCTGTTCCTCAGATAACCCTCCCTCTCTCCTGCTCCAGGACCATCGCCTTTGCTGCTCCATCCACCTGGAAAGCTCTTCACAGATCACCCAGGGCTCCTTCACCTCGTCAGGGCTCAGTCACCTCCTCATGGGTCCATCTCAGTGGTCTCTCTCACCTGGCCAGCATGACTTAATGGTTGAGCGTTGACCTATGAACCAGGAGGTCACAGTTCAATTCCCAGTCGGTACACGCTCCCAGTTTTGAGTTACCGGCTCAATGCCCAGTGGGGGGTGTGCAGGAGGTAGCAGATCTATGATTCTCTCTCATTGATGTTTCTATCTCTCTCCCTCTCCCTTCCTCTCTGAAATCAATATATATTTAAAATAGGCAAAAAATAAAATAAAGTGGTCTCTCTCCCCTCACTGTACCCCACCCTGCTGTGCATGTCAGCAGTGTTCCTGGTTTTGTCCCTCCCCCAACAGGAGGTGAGTTCTTGAGGCAGGTGTGGTTGCCTCCAGGGCACCTGAGCCTAGGTTTGCCACATGAGTGAACACTCTAACCCTCTTTATGAAATCCCGGGAAAAGCGGGCACCCTCCACTCCGGAGCCTGTTCCCCTCCCTGAAGGAGAAGGCCACAGGCAGGGCCCACAGCCTTGGTTCTCTGATGTGAGAAGGCTGTAGAGACTGGAAGGAAAAGAGGAAAGAAAGGTGAGAGGCAAGAGACCTTAGGAGGCTGGTTCTGGCCCTGGCCCTGTAGCTCAGTGGTTAGAGCATGGTAAGGCTATGCCAGGGTTTGATTTCCTGTTGTGGGGAGAGTCACACAATGAATGCATGGATGGGTGGAACAAGTGGATGTTTCTTTCTTTCTCTCTCTCTCTCTCTCTCTCTCTCTCTCTCTCTCTCTCTCTCTTCCCCCCCCCCGCCCCCCCCCCAACCTTTCCTCTCTTTAAAATCAATCAATAAACAACAGCAAAAATAAAAAATAAAAGAGTCTGGTTCTGCTGTGGCGCCCTCTCCGGTCCAACCCAAACCCCAGCAAAAGCAGGGGGACTCCTACCAATGGCGTTGCTCCCAGCCGGCTGCCTGTGCCCCAGGGCGGGACCCTGGGACCCCAGAACCGTGGACCGCTGGGCCACGCAGACTCTGGGCGGTGGCACATGCGGACCCCAGACCCCAAAGGGAAGACACCTCGCCCAGCACATGCTGTCCCTAAGAAGCTGACGCCACAAGGCGCCCGCAGAGGCATGAGGGGCCCAGGGCAATGAGGCCCCTGGACTCCGGGGAAAAGCACGAGGCAGGGCGAGTGTGGCCCCCAGGAGCTTGGAGCGCGGAGCGCGCGGCCCGGGACAGTGGCGCGCGGGGGCTGTGCGTGCCCGCGGAGACCCCGCAGCGGTGGCGCCAGGGTCCCGGACCAGAGGCGCCCGCGACCCGCCAGGGAAGGCACGCGCGACCCCGGCGGTTGGAGCGCAGCAGCCCCGAGGCGGTGGAGCGCGGGAACCACGCGGGCCGCCGGCGCGGAGGGGCGGGAGAGGGGGCGCGGTGGCGGGGGGCGCTGCGCGCGTGCTGCCGGCTGAGCCCGGGGGCCGCGTGGAGCGCTGTCCGTCCGCGGAAGCGCCGCGAGCTGGACACCCGGACGCCGGGCGCCGGTGCGTGGCCTCGGCCCGGACTGCGGGGCGAGACGGCGCCGCGCGCCTGCCACCGCCCCTCCGCCCGCCGCGCGCTCGGTCCCTCCCTCCGTCCCGCCTCCCGCCCCGCTCCCTCCCTCGGCGGCGGCCGCGCGGTGCTGTGCTCCCGGCGCACACGGAGCCCGGCGGGGACGGCGAGGCAGAGCGGGCGGCCCTGGGTCCGAGTGCGGAGCTGAGCCGGGCCCGGGAGCCGGCGCTTGCCTGCGGCTCCAGGAGACGGCAGGGGAGTCCCGGGAGGCCACCGGCCCCGTGCCGCCGGGGTTCTCGCCCGGGACCCGCGGGCAGCGCGGGGGACGGAGCCGCGGCCCGGCCAACTCCGAGGCGGGGACGCCGCGACGGCAACTTGAGGTGGGAACTTTGCGCGCCGCAGCCTCGCCAGGCGCCACCGAGTCCCGACCGGCCCCCGCGCCTGCAAACTCGGGCTCGGGGACCGTTCGGGGCTCCTCGGCGCCGACCCCAAAACCTGCCGGGGAGGGTGCCTGGGGCGACGGAGGATCTAGGTGCACCTGCGGGGGACAGGGCGTGGAGCGCGCTCGCCACGGTCACGGTGCGCGACCAGCTGGTGTTTTTCCCGAGGGGGGTCACCAGGGTGCGAAGTGCGGGACCTTCTCCACGGCGGTGACTTGGTGGTGGGGTGCGGGGGCGGGGAGATGATCCTAGAGGAGGCGGAGGTGTCTCACCGCCTTGCGGATCCTGGGAGGAGGGAGTGTTGGGGGAGGTGGATGGGGCGACTGTCACTCGCTCATTCACTCCATCCCTAGGCAGGGAATGGGGCTTCCCACTAGTGGGCTTCATTGAGTCATTCATTAACTCGGCAAGCTTCTAACGAGTGCCTACTGTGTGCTAGGCCATGGGGGTTCCCAGACAACCCTTCACCTGAGGCTCCAGCATCTGATAGATAAGGTGGGTGGTCACCACCTCAGCCTCAGGGTCCCCCTACTCAGGAGGGGCTCAGCCTGAATGGATTGGAGCTTTGGAGTGAGAAAGGAAGGGAGAAAAGTTCATTCACTCATTCGTGGATTGGACAAAGATTGGCTGAGCACCTACTATGCACAGCTCACCCTGCCAAGACTTAGCAACTATTATTTCATTCATTTAACAAACAGTTACTGAGGCCAGCGCTGGGGAGAGAACATGCAAGGAGAAGGATGGGGTGGGGACGGATAGGGCAGAGGGCAGCTGACAGCTAAAGAGAATTAAGACCCAGCCCTCCCTTGAAGAGCCCCCAGCCTGTGGGGTGGCTGTCCCAGCAGCCCCCGTGTGTGTAGGGCAGAAAGTCACTGGACACGTTGTAGAAGGGCTCTTCCGTGGCCATGGAGTGTGTTCATTCCCCAGGGGAGAAGGCAGTCTGGAACAGGTTCTAGGGTAGAAGGAAGGGTCTTTCAGAGGCTCCTTAGGGGCGGGTGGGAATGGGGAGGAGGGGTGAGAAACAGTGATCTAACATTACAGAGGAAGGCAGGCTCCCACCCATGAGGCCCGTGAGTTAACTGTCCATTCAGCAGGCATTTTCTTAAACACTTGCTATTCTTACACACTTGCAGGGTGCCAGGCACCTAAGTCACCCAGGTGGATGAGACAGACCCAGAGATACCTGCCCGCCCACCTTTGCTGACACCTCGAGATAAGTTCAGGGGGAGTGAGAGGAGGGAGCGGGAGCTGATTCATTGCACACTGGGAGGGATAGGGGGAGGCTCCTGCCTCTGTGAATCTGAGCAGAGGTTTGTCACAGGGCGTGTTTGATACCCACACACGTTACTGCAGTCAGAGCCACTATGGGCAGCCTCCCCAGGGAAGGTTTCTCGCTGCTGGAGACCAGTCCCACTGCCGGGCCAGGGGAGGGGCGCATGGCCAGGGTCTGGACTTCTCAGGCTGTGCTGGACCTGAGCTTGACCCCTATGCCCTCTTCCTGGGAGCTCTGCAGAGCACCTGCTGAGGGGGCAGGTGTTGGAAACTTGGGCAGGATGGCCCCTGGGGATGGCCCTCAGCAGCCATTCCCTAGCCCAGCCCTCTCCAGCAGGAAGATGTCTGTTGTGGGACACATTCCAAGCCCACGGGGAACCATGAATGTGCTGGAAACAAGACAGCCTCGATTCCTGCCTGGAGGCTTGAGAACGCAGGCTGCCCTGGAGCCGCCTGGGGTCCCACCACCCCCTTGAATTCTCTGCACCAGGCACACAACTGGGCTCTGGCGAGAGGTGAGGGAGTTGCCCCTGGGAAGAGAACAGAGACCTGTGTCCTGAGATTCAAGGGATTAACCCTCTGGACCCTGCAGGGTGTCTTGACTGGGCCAGCCTTTCTCCACATCCCTTTTCTTGTATGTGATGAAGAGTCAACATTTCCCGTTGTCGAAAGATATAGAGGTCTGGGAAACCACTCTTGGTTGACTCATTAAACCCAGAAATGGAGTCCCTGAGTGGGAAATGGCGGCCGGAAGGGCCACTCCAAGTAGAATTAACAGAAAGGGAGAGGCAAGAAGGTCTAGCAGCAAGCACTCAATCACTGTTGGCCATTTTTATTATATAGCCGGCTGTGTTTGATTAACAAAATCAGAGCACAGAGTGAACGTGCTACAGATAGGATCTGAGCTGTGCCTCGGATTTTCCCCTGCTCTGCGGGCCCTCACGCCCGCGCCTCACGCCTCCCGGGCAGGCAGGCACCTCCATGCTGTCCCTCCTCCCTTCCTCACCTCCCCACCCCGGCTTACCCCACAGACTGCAGCCATCACCCTCGCCGAGGAAGAACTGAGGGGTGATTCAAGCAGGTGGTTCCTTCCTGCTGTCCCAAGGTCTCCGCTGCGTCCCCAAGCCTGCTCCCTTGCTTACGCCTGTGTTCCCAAATTTCACCCAGCAAGGAGACAAATAGAAAGGGCCTTCTGGCTCGCACCCCGAAACACCTCCTGGTGGAAGGCAAATGTGCATTTGGTGGTATTTTGCAGCAGCTGAGTGAGGAGGCTCTAGAGGGCTCTTTTTCTGTCTCTTTTTCTGGGTGTGGGGGGTGAGGAGGGCAGGTGACTCTGGCACACGTACTCATGTGGGGGTAGGTGGGGGTAGAGGGAAGAGCCCAGCTCCCAGAAAATATACCCCCCTCCCAGGAACTTGGGCCCCAGCTCAAAAGAAGCCGGCCAAGGTTCAGCCTGGTTGGATTACGATGAGGATGGACGGCAGGCAGCTAGGAAAGCTCTCCCCGTGGGTACAGCGTCTCTCGGAGAGATTCGACATGCCAGGACCTGGGCCAGGCTAATGGCTGGACCCATTTTGATTCACGTTTTAATTGGAGATTAATGCGGCATCCCCCAAGTCTGAGTCATCCCAGCCAGGAGCCCTCACCCTGGCCGAGGAAGCCGCCCTGGCAGGGGAAGGGCAGCGTGGAGAGAGCCATGGGCCCCCGGACACCTGCTTGGGATGCGGGAAGGACACAGGTTGGGAGGTGTGGTGTGAGAAGGAACCTCAGGAGCTCTGGGGAAGAAACGCTTTTCTTTTAAGAAGTTGCCTTGGAGGCTGTGTTAGTTAGTGACCGTCACAGATTACCACCCATTTCGTGGCTTAAAGCAACACAGATGTATTGTCTTCCAGTGTTTGGAGATCAGAAGTTCAAAGTGGGTCTCTGGGCTAGCTTCAAGGGTTCGGCAGGACTGTGCTCCTTCTGGGGAGGATCCATTTCTTTGCCTTTTCCAGCTTCTAGAAGCTGCCTGCATCCTTGGCCCCTGCCCCGCATCACTCCAACCTCTGCTTCCGTCATCACACTCTGACACGGACCCTCCTCCCTCCCTCTTACAAAGACCCCTGTGAGTACACAGGGCCCACAGACGACCCAAACCATCTGATCTTCTCCCCATCTCCAGATCCTGCATTGAGTCACACCAGCAAAATCTCTTGACTCGTAAGGTAACATAGCCCCAGGTTCCGGGGATGAGGATGTGGACGTCTTTGGGGGACCACTATTCTGCCCACCATAGGGGCGTGTCTCACCAGTGTCTGTTACAGATGGTGAGCCAGAGACCCACCCTCGCGCCTGGCTGGTGCCACAGGAGGGCTTCTGCCCAGAAGCCAAAATGGCCACTCAGAATTTGACAAACGCAGGCATTTTGTTGATTCCTTCCTCTGCTCCTGTGCCAAGTGCACAACAGGAATAAAGATGTTTCCCCCGACCACAGCCACCGCCTGCTTTTCCGCATCCCTAAAGACCATCCGAAAGTTTGTCTGAAGAAAACAGAGCTGAGAGACCCAGGTGGTGGAGACATGCACCCCATGGGAAAGGACCTCTGGCTCGCACCCCAGGACGCCTCCGGGGAAGCAGGGAAATGCAGAGTCAGAGAGATTTGGCTTGGAGTCCCACAGGCTTAGTTTGATTTTGGCTTCGTCACTTATTATCAGAGTCCTGAGTTCCCACTTCTCAAAGCCTCAGTTTCCTCATCTGCAAAGTGGGGGCGTTAATGGGACCACCTGCCTCTGAGGGAAGCACGTGGCTCACGGAATTAAGGCTCTTACATGGGGCCTGGACTTAGTGTGCGATTGAGGGAGGCTGAGATTGCTGCTGTTATAGCGCCATGGCTGTTTAGCGTGCGCGTGCGCTCTGTCTGTCTGCAGCCCCCCCTTTCACTCAGAAGAGGGACAGAGAGCTCTGTCCGAAGGATGAGCATAGGATGGAAGGGCGGGGTCCCCTCCTGCTCCCTGCTCCTACCCCACCAAGCTGTGCATCCCCGCCCGAGTCAGACCCTGGCCACAGAGCGGCTTCATGGTGGGGCTGCCACTCAGCACTGCTTACGGTGTGAGTTCTCATTTGTCTTTGGAAACGTGTGCTCGGCCCTCAGGCATTGCTGGTGAACATCGTCCTCCCAAGAGGACAGGAGATCTCACGTGGGAGTGTCGGTGGATCTGCTGGCTCACACCGGGGAGTTGATCAGGCCGTTCCCCATGCAGTTTTTTCTCTCAAATCAGAGGGTTTCCACATCTCCAGTGAATCTCCCCAAATGTAGGGCCCACAGAGCCTTCCAGAACCCCAAGGACATTGAGAGATTGGGCAAGGGGCTCCCCTCCAAAGCTCAGAGCAGCTCTTGCACCCCAGTCCCTGGGGGATCTCTAGGCGTTCATGGCATCCTCTCTTTCTCTCCTGAGCATTTGTGAGACTTCCTAAGGGAACCGGTCAAAATGCCCACTCCTGGGCCTCCCCTCCAGCATCTGGGGAAGGTCTGGGAGAGGCTGGGACGTCTGCATCTCCACTGAGCATCAGGCCCGGTCAGAACCCAGTGGCTTGGTTGCTCTTATGCTTCCATTTTTCTTTTTCTTTCTTTCTTTATTTTTTTTTTCTTTACCTGGATTAAAGCCCAGAGTTGTGTTAACCACACTCTGTCTACTTCTCTCTTCATCCTGGGCCTGGGCTGGGCCATATTATTCACTGGCCCCTTCCTTGCAGTCCCCATTCCCCACTCTTGTCCCCCTTTCCCTCCCTCCAGGCACCCTCCCCGTGGGTGATATAGATCCCTGCATGTACATGAGTCTTTGTAAAATATGTAATAGTGTGTGTGCTCATTTACATAAATAGCATAGTGCTATAAACTTCTGTTTCTTTTTCCACTCGGCACCATGTTTCCAAGACCTAAATGTGTTCCTAATTCTACATCTAGTTTGTTGCTTCCAATTCCTGTGCCATCTACAGGGCTCCACCATCTGCATCTACCACGACTCCCTTGTCCATCCCCCCAACCTCGCCCCGATGGACACGAGGGGACCTCTTAGCACGACCCGCAACATGGGATGCACATTCTTGTACCTTGTTCCTCTCTTACATCTGATTCCCCAGAAGTAGATCCTGAGTCAAGGATTTGAGTGCAAATAATTTATTACCGCAATGTCTGCCAAGACCCCGGTAAACCCAGATCTGAGAAATCTACCCACAGTGGGATTCCTGGGTCACAAGGCAGCAGCCTCCTTCATTTCCCTCCGCATCCCTGGTGCCTTTCCCAGAGGCACCCCAGACCGCATCCCCCCAGCAGTGGGCTCTGAGGCTCAGACAATGCTGGGTTCAAATCCCACTGGATCAGGTCAAGAAAAGAGTCACCCTTGGCTGGTGGAAGGAGAGATGACAGACTCTTCCCCCCTCCCCCATAGCTTATAATAATACAGCAGGTGTCCATTGCATGTCTGGCATTGGGGCAATCATGTCACTGTGTCATTTGCTTTAGTCTTCACCACAACTCAAGGAGGCGGGAGCTATTCATATCCCCATTTTACAGATGAGGAAACTGAGTCTCAGAGGCAAGACATGTCTTGCCCAGAGTCACAGTGACTGGCCTTGAACCCGCGTCTCCGGATTTCAGAGCCCGTGGGCTCTTCTGCTTCCCCAGCTTGGGGTGGTCAGCAAGTTGTCCCTCAAGCTGGAATCCATAGGCCCTCAGAGGTAAAATCACTATTGTCCATCATGCTCTCGAAGTGACAGACCCAACACCACAGAGAACTTTTAAAAGACCGGGTTTTCTGTGAGGGTGTCAGGCTGGGTGAGAAGTGGCGTTACTTTCCAGAAGCAGGACTTGGCGGCCTGTTGGGTTTATGACCTTCATTAGGGACTATAGAGTCTGGAGCATGTGGAGCCGTCCCCCCACACCCATTGGACTGGGAGCGAGGAGAAGTGTGCCCATTCCTCAGCCAGCAAATGCCAGGTGTGGCCCTCTGAGGACGAGTGGCCTGAATGACGTTTGCTTCTCCCTCCTCTCCATCCTGAACCGTCTGCTGAGACAGGATAACTTTTCACACAGGACGCGGAGGCTGTTACTCACAACAGACCCCAGTGGTGAGAGAAAGAAAGGAGTTAACACGCACTGGGGGAGTTTCCCGCTGGAGGGGACACTGGGGATGGGAAGAAGAAATTCCTCAAGAGCAGAGGGGGTGACAGCACCCCCTGTGGGTTTCACAGGAGCCCTCCGGGGCTTGCAAAGCCAGAGGAATGTTCCTTGGCCTCCGTCATCATCATTCTCCATCATTCTCACCAAACAGAATGTCGGGTTCCTCTTGTCTTCGGTGGCAAAGATACAGCAGCAGAGCTGAAGATGATGGTCGGGGTGTGAAGTGCCTAAAGGGGACGCCTGTCACTCTTGTGTGTGGGGGGGAGGGGGAAAGGGGGGAATTATGGCAGCTTTGCCTGAGGAGATGGACTCCAATTTTAGGTCAAGTTAATAGCATTCTCAATACTCTAAAACCAAATCATTTTTATTTCAAGCACAGGTATAACCTGGTCTTTCCAAACCCAACCTGTGAAACTAGCTTTCCCCAAAGGTAAATGAGTGACGAAACCATCACTTTTGAAGGATTCCTGTTAGGAAAGATCTCCTCCCCAAACCCCACCCTGACTCCTATTAAACACTGTTTCTCATCTGAACAGGTGTGTGTGTGTGTGTGTGTGTGTGTGTGTGTGTGTGTGTGTCCGTTCAGGGTACACATTGACACTCAGGTACTGGAAATGAGTTTCCATGTGGAATTGATGGGTTTTGATGGTGCCCTGTGCTTCCATGGGGACTAGGTTTGGAGGAGGCATGGTGCTTTTATAAAGCAACTAAAGGCCCGGTGCACGAATTCGTGCAGGGGTGGGGTCCCGCCCGAGCCTGATAGGGCAGTTGGGGGTGGGCCAGCGGCTGGGGGAGGGGGAGGGGAGGGGCTCTAGGAGGTTGGGGGCAGGAGGTTGGGGGGGCCAATTGGGGCCCCATCCGGCAGTTGGCCTCAGCAGTGTGCATCATAGCGACCGGTGGTTGGGTAGTTCTGGTTGCTTGGCTCTTATATAGAGAGATTACACTCACCACTTTTCTATAGATTGGCTTAATTCTGGAAACCTCTGTTGCTATGATTTGAGGATCTCAAACTCTAATGCCTACAGGGGCCAGGAAGTAGAGGGGTGTTAGGAAGGCAACAGGGAGTGGGGGGCTGTGGCAGATGGCAGCATGCATGCCCTGCTTAAAGGGGACAGTCATCTCTCAGCTGGAATTTGGGCCAAATGTTGCCAGATAGTCTGGGTTTCAAGAGAAACCAAGAATATGAATTTTTACATAAAATTTTTTATCTTTCAAAATCTTCTCCAAGCCAGGAAAAATATTTGTGAACCAAATTCAGCCCAGGAGCTATGGATGAATAAGCAACCTCGTTCTAGCTTGGAGGGTTGGGAAGGAAGGAGTCTACGTAAGCTCATACTCTGACCTCAGTTTCTCAGAAGGACCCTCACCATGTCGGCCTCTCCAGCAGGAAATGTACTCATTTAGCAAACACTTCTTTGAGCTCCGAAGCTGCTGGGCACAGAGATTAAGAGATGAGTCAAGTACAGTCCCCCCCACCCCACCCCACCCCCCCACCCCACCCCCCCCGCCAGGGAGCAGGGAGTCTAATAAAGAAGCCAGGCTTGCACACAGATAATTCTAAAAATGGGTGATCAGTGCAGTGGAGATAAATGCACTATGAAGGGGGGGCAGAGGGAGCTCGATTTAGCTGGCAAAGCCAAGAAGGCTTCCTGGAGGAGCAAGCATGCCTGTCTTTGTTCACGCCTGTATCCTCAAGAGGACGTTTGCTGATTCGTGAATGAATGTGGCACTGTTATCATAACTGTATTTCTTTGGACATTATCTCTTATTGGTGGCAAATGATATACTTTTCCCATTTATGAGAGCAATATCCCTCCAAGATAAATACAAATAGTAATAATAATCATTGCATACCTACTATGTGCCAGGCACTGTATTAAGTAGTCTTCATTGAATCGTCTTGATAGTTCTATGGGGTAGGTCATATGTTTATACCCATTTCTCAGATGAGGACATTAGAACACATGAAGGTTGAGTAACTTGCCCAGGCCATGAGGCTCCAAGTCTATGCTCATAACCACCACACCAGCGCCTTTCCTCCTCGGCACTATGGGCTTTGGGGACCAGATAATTCTCTGTTGTGGGGCCTGGCCTGTGCACTGTAGGGATTTCAGAAGCATTTCTGGCCCCTATCTACTATGCCAGTAACATCCACCAGACATGACAATCAAAAATGCCTCCAGATATTGCCATGTGTCCCCTGGGGGAGAAATTGGCCCTCGTTGAGAACCACTGGTCTACACTAAACTACCTTTACAAGCTAAATAAATGCAAAAAAAAAAAAATTGGGGCTAATGTACAAGGAAGTTTTAAGTAAATAATAGTACAGAGGTTGCCTGGCAGCCCAGTGAGACGCCAGCTCCATGGGCCGGGGACCGTGACTGATTCTGTGTGTGGCTGTGAATCAGCAGAGCCTATAGCAGTGCCTGGCACACAGCAGCTCTCAGCATACTTCTATAAATGAGGCGGATGTGGAGGAACTGTAACACTTAGGAATGCTGAAGGATGCCGTTGCTATTTTCACTCTTAAGTGAATGTTTTTGTCCACTGGGGCTGCTGTAACCAAATACCTGAACTGGGTGGCTCACAAACAGACATTTATTGCTCACAGTTCGGGGTGAGGAGGGGAGGTGAAGTCCGAGATCAGGCCAACATCCTGGTGGGGTTCTGATGAGGACTCTCTTCCTGGCTTTTAGATGGTGCCCCCTTACTGGGCACTCACAGGGTGGAGGGGCAGGGCTCCTTATAAGGGCACTAATCCCATCATGAGGGCCCCACCCTCATGGCCTTATCTAAACCTAGTCACCGCCCCAAGGCCCCACCTCGAATATGGTCCCATTGGGGTTAGGGCTTCTCCCTATGAATTTGGCGGACACAGTTGAGTCCACAGCAGCAAATAATCGCAGGATCAGCGTTGTCAGCTGAGACTCGGGAGTCACTGAGGGTCTTTCCTCTCTTCTTCCCCCAGGCCGGAGAGGGATGTGAAGACTCAAAATGACCCTCTTACCAGGAGACAATTCTGATTACGACTACAGCGCCCTGAGCTGCACCTCCGACGCCTCCTCCCACCCGGCCTTCTTCCCGCAGAGCCAGTCACTCAAGGGCGTCTTCTACCGCCGGGCCCAGCGGCTGCGGCCTCAGGATGAGCCCCGCCAGGCCGGCCTGCCCGAGGACCGCCGGAGGCGGATCATCATCAATGTGGGTGGCATCAAGTACTCGCTGCCCTGGACCACACTCGAGGAGTTCCCGATGACGCGGCTGGGCCAGCTCAAGGCCTGCACCAACTTTGACGACATCCTCAACGTGTGCGATGACTACGATGTCACCTGCAACGAGTTCTTCTTCGACCGCAACCCGGGGGCCTTCGGCACCATCCTGACCTTCCTGCGGGCGGGCAAGCTGCGGCTGCTGCGTGAGATGTGTGCCCTGTCCTTCCAGGAGGAGCTGCTGTACTGGGGCATCGCCGAGGACCACCTGGACGGCTGCTGCAAACGCCGCTACCTGCAGAAGATGGAGGAGTTTGCCGAGATGGTGGAGCGGGAGGATGAGGAAGACCCGCTGGACAGTGACAGCCAGGACAGTGAAGGCCTGGCCGAGGGTGATGGCCACCGGGGCCACTGCATGCGGAGGCTGCGTGACATGGTGGAGAGGCCGCACTCAGGGCTGCCAGGCAAGGTGTTTGCCTGCCTGTCAGTGCTCTTTGTCACCATCACCGCTGTCAATCTCTCCATCAGCACCTTGCCCAGCTTGAGGGAGGAGGAGGAGCAGGTAAGAACCCACAACTATATGCAGGGAGACTTGCTGCATGGGGGACGGTCACTCAGGACAGGAGACAAAGCTGTCTGCTAGGCCACCTCCTCTCAGAAGTCCACAACTTTCACAGTGTCACCTCCTCCAGGAGGCCTTCCCTGACTGCGCTGGCTGAGGACCATCCTCCCTCCTTCCTGACAGTATGTCATCCTCCTCCACATTCAAATAGGGGCTCCCTACCTGTCCCAGTCTAGGCCCTGTGCCCCCAGTATCTTATAGCAGTGTCCAGCACCACAAGGCACTCCAGCACTCTCTGTTGGATGAATGAATGAGTGAATAAATGGATGGCGTGATTTATGATGTGCTTGGCCTGAAGCACATGACACATCATCATTTATTTCACCGACTTAAGTCCTTTCTCAACCTTCCAAGTTCCCTTGTATAAAAATATCCCAGAAATGTAACTTCTGTGGTAGGGATGCGGGTGTGCTCGTGTCTTCAAATAGTGAGCGTTTCTTTGTGTTAAATAAGTGAATGCGTGTAGAGGGTTTGCTCCAGAAGCTGGCGCAGGGCGTGCTCCATTCCCAGGGCTACCACTTAGCAGGAGAGCCAGGGGCTGCTGCAACCCTGCCTGCATCCACTCTGACAGAGACTCTTCCAGCATCCCTGTACCCTGTACCCTGTACCCTGTACAGGCGTGCTCTCAGCCACGTGACACATGAGAACACTGAGGCCCAGCAGCTTGCCCAGACCCAGGTCTGACCGAGTCCAAATTCTGTGTTCTTAAATGTGGAACTATGGGTTCCACATGGAGCCAGAGTCCTCAGATAGCCCACAAAGGTGGGTCATGGGCTGCACTCCCCAAAATTTTGACTTGGTCCCCAACATTTACTTATTTTTAATATATATTTTTATTGATTTCAGAGAGGAAGGGGAAGGAAGGGAGAGATAGAAACATCAGTGATGAAAGAGAATCATTGATCGGCTGCCTCCTGCACGCCCCACACTAGGGATCGAGCCCACAACCCAGGCATGTGCCTTTGACCAGAATTGAACCCAGGACCCTTCAGTCCATAGGCCGACGCTCTATCCACTGAGCCAAACCGGCTAGGGCCCCAACATTTAAAAGTAAGGCATTTTTTCATTTAAAAATTCAAACTCCCAGCTCCCATTAAAAATCTGTATGGTGGGGCCTGCTGGTCTGCCACCCCACGCAGCCCCTCTCGGTGGGAGCTGAGTCCCCGGACGTCTGCTCCCCAGTTCAGCCTCCTTCTGTGTGAGACCCTTGGGCCTTTGAGTCGGGACCCCCTTCCCCACACATGGGGTTTCTGGGTGTAAGTTTCAAGACAGACAGAAAGGTTTAGACAGGTATAAATTGTATAGGCGTTGGAGAAGTAGGTTTGGCAGTATGAACTTAATCCAAATATCAGGCCAGCCAGCATTTGTTGAGCACTGGCTGTGTACCCTGATGGAGAACTAGAACTACTCACCATGTGAGGTTTTCCACATGCATGCATTATGGAAGAAGTAGCAATACTTTTGCATTTATAAACCACAGAGGATATCTGGCACTTTTTTATATATTGAATTTTATTTTATTAGTTTTTTATTCTCTAGAGAAAGAGGAAGGGAGAGGGAGAGAGAGAGAGAAACATCGATGTGAGTGTTAAATATCAATCAGCTGCCTCCTGCACACACACATACACACACACACACACACACTTACACACACCAACCAGGAATCCAGCCCACAACACAGGCAGGTGCCCTGACCTAGAATCGCACTGACAACCTTCCAGTGCGCGAGACGACACCCGACCAACTGAGCCACACCGGCCAGTGCTATATACGTTGAATTTTAAAAACAAGTGTTGCAACAACAGCACTCACCCCGTAAAATTAACTATTGATAGGCATAAGGGGTACTGATGAAGAGGGCAGGACTAGAGCCAGATGGCCTAAATTTACATCTGATTTCCCCCACTCTGGTTGTGTATCTGTAGGCAGGTTACTGCACCTCTCTGTGCCTCAGTTTCCTCACCTACCAAAAAAAAAAAAGGCAGAGAAAATGCTCATCATTTGAGACCTGTCTGGAAGTACGTGTACTTAGATTAGTATAGATTTTATTTCAGCTCCAACATATGTGACCCTGATTTCATCAGGAAAATACTAATGAAGCCACTGTTTTATTCAACTTCTGAAACTTGCTTTTTAAAAAGTAGTACTTAGCCTTTCTCATGATTCAGTGACAGTACTATTCTCTGACTTCATTTGGGGAGCAGTGGGGCTCACTGCTTCAGTTCCTCCTTGAGGACCATTTGTATGTCTATGTATTCAGGCACCACAGGGAGGCAGGGTGGCCAGGACACGTCTTCCAGCCTCAAGGAGCTTCAAGGCCAATGGAGGGAGGACAGTGACACCCCTGTGACCATACATGTGAGAACAAGGAGTCTGAGACCTCAGAGCCCCCAAGTATGAGTTCATCTCTCCAGCCTATAACGCAGTGGTTCTCAACCTTGGGCTGCACATTAGAATCACCTGGGAATCTTGTTAAAATCCTGATTTCTGGGCCTCATCCTCCGGAAATTCTGTTTCTTTGTTACTAATGTTGTGGCCCCACCCCATAACAAAGAAACAGAATTTCCGGAGGATGAGGCCCAGAAATCAGGATTTTAAGTAGATTCCCGGGTGATTCTAATGTGCAGCCAAGGCTGAGAACCACTGCCCCAACGTATTTCTAGAGAGAGAGCTATTAGAGCAGGACTCGCAGAGCCCTGCTGTGCCCAGGGACCGCGGGGTGCCCCAGGCTACAGCCAGCAGTGCCTTCCTCTCTGCCAAAAGGCCCCTTTGAACTTGAGGTCACCACCATCCAGTTATATTCCAGAGAGACCAGCTGGCAGCCCGCCTGCCAAAGGCAGCAGCACGCAGGTGTGTGTGAGAGGCCGATGGAGTGTTTTCTTTGTGCTGACTTATCACAACATTTAAAATCCAGGAGATTTCATGGAAAACTCCAGATTTCCAGCTTTTCTCCAGTGAGGCTGTCTCAAGCCTGAATTAGTGGCTCAGGGCAGCGATCAAGGGGTGGACGTGATGGCCATGCTCTCCGGCAGCCTCCACCCCAAATGGCTCAGCTCCCCCATTTCCTTTGCCCGCCTGGCCTTGAGTTGCCCCCCCCCCCCCCCCGTCCGAACGCCATCCCAGTGCTCTTCCGTCCAGCAGGTAACACATATGAGCTGCTCACCTGCAGCACACTGGGCCTTTCCAAGTGGACAAACTGCCCCATCCTTGGGGTTACAGTCTGTTGGGACAGAGAGGAGGGGGCAGAGACAGACAATAAACATGATAAATAAGTAACTTAAAGGCATATTCAAAGATGATAAGCGCTATGAATAAATGGAGCGGGATAAGGGGAACCGGGTATAGGACAAAGGGAGAGGGTGATTTTTAAACAAGGGGTCACGAAGGCCTCCCTGGGAAGGTGATATTGAAGCAAAGAGCTGGAGGCAGGAGGGCAGAGCCATGTGGGTGTCTGGGGAAGAGGAATCCTGCTGGGGGGTGAGCCTGGGCTGGCGGAGGGGCAGTGAGGAGACCCACGAGGCGGGAGCAGGTGAGCGAGGCGGGCAAGGGCGAGAAGCTCGGGGTGGCAGCTGCCATGTGTGCCCTGGGAGACGTGCACTGTCCCTCTGAGTCATGGGGGCTGCTGATCAAGGAGGTCCAGGATCTGACTCCTGGGCTCAGGGTCCCTCTGGCTATGTGTGCTAAATGGATTGTAGGCCGAGGGAGCCCAGGGAGGGGGGTGCCCACCCTGTCCAGGTGAGAGAGGATGGTGGCTAGACCAGGGTTGGGGCCGTGGACATGGTGAGAAGTGGTTAGATTCTGGAATAATCTTAAATAAAGAGCTGACGGGATTTCCTGAGGATGACATGGGAGGTGTCAGGACAAGGCTAAGTCTCCTGTCCTGAGCAAAATGGGAAAGGTGGGATCACTGTTTGCTAATCAGGGGTACGACAGACGGGCTGGTGAAAGCAGGAGCCCAAAGAAACTAGATCCTTTTTAATTTTTATTGAATTTACTGGGGTGACATTTGTTAGTAAATTACACGGGTTTCAAGTGTACAGCTCTACAAAGAAACTAGATCGTAATTGTTCTCACCACAGAAAAGAAATGATAATTGTGTGGCATGATAGAGGTGTCTGCTCTATGGCAGTAACCATGTTGCAATGTGTAGATGCACCAGTCAGCACATGGACACCTTAAACTTACATGTTAATTATACTTCACCAAAAATAAATGTTTAAAACAATCAGGAGCTGGATTGGGACATGAGGAGTTTGTGACTCCCATCAAACACCGAGAGGTGACATCAAGGAGCAGCCCAGCCCATCTGGGTTCTGAAGTTCAGGGGCAAGGCCTGGGCTAGAGAGAGAGATGGTCAGCATCGAGATGACACCTCAAGCCCTAGCGATCTCCCAGGAGGTGTGCATAACTAGGCAGAGGCCCCAGGGCCATATGACAGGGGCGGGGGGCGGGGTGGGGGGGTCATCCAGGTAGCACAGCGCCCTGCCCAGGGCCGTGCTCCGTCCTCCTCCTGGTGGGACCGCTGACTCTCCCGGGACTCTCCCCTCCCCCAGGGCCAGTGCTCCCAGATGTGCCACAACGTCTTCATCGTGGAGTCGGTGTGTGTGGGCTGGTTCTCGCTCGAGTTCCTCCTGCGGTTCATCCAGGCGCCCAGCAAGTTCGCCTTCCTGCGGAGCCCGCTGACCCTGATCGACCTGGTGGCCATCCTGCCCTACTACATCACCCTGCTGGTGGACGGTGCGGCCTCCGGCCGCCGCAAGCCGGGCGCAGGCAACAGCTACCTGGACAAGGTGGGGCTGGTGCTGCGGGTCCTGCGCGCGCTGCGCATCCTGTACGTCATGCGCCTGGCCCGCCACTCCCTGGGGCTGCAGACGCTGGGGCTCACCGCCCGCCGCTGCACCCGGGAGTTCGGGCTCCTGCTGCTCTTCCTCTGCGTGGCCATCGCCCTCTTTGCCCCCCTCCTCTACGTCATCGAGAACGAGATGGCCGACAGCCCCGAGTTCACCAGCATCCCCGCCTGCTACTGGTGGGCGGTCATCACCATGACAACTGTGGGCTATGGAGACATGGTACCCAGGAGCACGCCTGGCCAGGTGGTGGCGCTCAGCAGCATCCTTAGCGGCATCCTCCTCATGGCCTTCCCAGTGACCTCCATCTTCCACACCTTCTCCCGCTCGTACCTGGAGCTCAAACAGGAGCAGGAGCGGGTGATGTTCCGGAGGACCCAGTTCCTCATCAAAACCAAGTCGCAGCTGAGCGGCCTGTCCCAGGACAGTGACATCTTGTTCGGAAGTGCCTCCTCGGACACCAGAGACAAGAACTGAGCCTAGAGCCCACCACCGCCCCCCCCCCCCGGGACCCCCAGCCCTGCCTGCGGCTTGACGCTATCGCCATCACTGCAGACGCCTTCTAAGGCTCATGCCAATTCTGAACGTGGCCCTGGCCTAGGACTGACCCCGTGCACGCCCCCGGGGGGATGTCCACTACATCCCAGAAGGGTCCCTGCCCTCCTCAGCCAGCCGAGCTGGTCCCAGCACACAGCGTGACCGTCCCCGCCCGACCCAGCCCTCCAGCCTGTGTCCCTCGATAAGGAGATGGCGTGTTCGTTCCACCATGTAAATAGCCCGCCCAGCAAAGACCTGCTTTACGGGTGTGCCTGGAGAAAAAATACAATCTGCCGCAGCCGCGTGTCTGTCTTCACTGTGGATCACATGCAATTAAAGCAGTGGTTCTCAACCGTGGCTGCACATTAGAATCACCTGGGAATCTTGTTAAAATCCTGATTTCTGGGCCTCATCCTCCGGAAATTCTGTTTCTTTGTTATGGGGTGGGGCCACAACATTAGTAACAAAAGAAACAGAATTTCCGGAGGATGAGGCCCCTGCTTTCATGACTCACACCTGAAAAGTAAGTTTTCCGACCCATTGTGGCCCTCGAGTCAAAAAGTTTGCCCACCCCTGCTCTAAAGCAAACCTGGTCACTGGCTGCCCTGCTAGACCCATCACGGGCCGCCCATCACGTGGGGAATAAAACACCGGCTCTTCCACAAAATACCGACTTCTGCGCATGGGCCACAAAGTTTCAATCGCACTGTATGTGCGCGCCCGCACGTGGTATTTTGTGGAAGAGCCACACTCAAGAGGCCAAAGAGCCGCATGTGGCTCGCGAGCCGCGGTTTGCCGAGCGCTGACCTAGCCCATTGCCATCTCAGAGCCTTCACACCTGTGATCCCTCTGCAGGGACTGCCCTTCCCATAGAACACTGCGTGGCTGGCTCCTTCCCATCACTCCCCTGACCACATGCCTAAAGAGTCCACTCCGGCACCTCCACCACCACCACTCTCCCTCCAAACCTGCTTGATCTTTTTCACCCACTCATCAATCTCTCAAATTGCCTGGTTAATTTCTCTGCTGCTCGCGTATGGTCCGTTTCCAGCAGGCGGAGGCCAGTGCTGTGCTGGCAGAAACTCAGCCACATGGCTCACCCCCAGCACCCAGCACAGGGCCTGGCACCTAGTAGGTGCTCAATCAATACTTGTTGAATGAATGAATGAATGAATGAAAAATGAAGGGAAACCGGATAGAGGGCCAGGAAGTAGAAAGGCATCTGTTTTTGACATTGGATGCTGGGCCTCTGAGCACCTCTCTCTCTCTCTCTCACTGGGGGCTGGGGAGGGGGTGCATCTCAGTGCACTATCACAATATACAGGCAGTGATGCAGAGTGGAAATATCATTCGAGACGCGAGGGCCTTGTTAAAGGCTCCCCTGACACCTGCTTCCATGACTCACGCCTGAAAAGTAAGTTTTCCGACTAATTAGCTCTACCTTCCCGGCCCGGGGAGTGTCAGAGCGATCGGCACTGCCGTCGTGCTAATAACACGTTAGATTTATGGAATGACCTTTTTTTTCTCCTCCAAAGCGGCTGTGAGAGACAGGGACAACTGAAAATGCTAAGTAGAACGTGACACAGAAAGAGGTATGAAATGAAGCCCTTTAAAAGTCAAGGGGATGGAAAGCAAATACCATTTGGTGGGGGGGAGGAGAAGCTGGGACAGCGCAAGGAGGAGACACCCTCCCCACTTCCACCCCCCACAGAGGACAGAGGCTGCAGCTGGCTGTGCAGGGAGGAGCAGGTGTCACTGAGGCTCGCAATCCCTGGCGTCTTGCGAAGATTCTGACTGAAGCTGGTGGCTGAGGCAGAGTCCAAGACTTAGGCACCTCTCAGGACCTCCCTTGAGGGTCAGAGGGGCTCTAGATACTGACTTGCACATGCAGAGTGAGGCTCAAAGGCCCTTGGTCCTAATTAAGAACCAGGAGGCCTCAGACAGCTAACTAGCCACTTCTAGGACCCTGACCAAATTGATGATCATGGCTTTTCCACATTTTTTTAATGATGTGAAATCAGATGCAGAAAGCCCGGCTATACATCGGATCGAATAAGGGCTATTGCGCTTGAAGTGTGGGCCACTGCTGCTTGCCCTGCCGTAAGGGGGCCTCTCCTTTGACCCTGTACAGGTGACTAACTCCATAGAGCCGGGACGGTGTGTGAAAGTCACTGCGCTAAGGGAAACAGCAAGTATCCAAATTGTTTTATATTTTAGTAAACACATTATCCTCCATCTCTGATGTAGCTCATCACTTCTGCAAGACTCGCAGTGGAGGACTGGGGAGCTGATTTAACAACACAGATCCTCAGGCCCCACCTCTGAGCACGGCCAGGACTTCTCACCTTGGGCTCAGAATTTTAGGCAGAGCCAAGAAAACACACACACACACACACACACACACACACACACACACACACAAAAACAAACTGACCAAGATAACTCTTAATGCAGTATTTTTAAAAATCAAATTTAATGCCAAAAATCCATGATAAACAAAATATCAAAACTGTAAATAAAGACAGAATCAGCCTTTGTCATGCCACTGCCTAGTTCTGGTCCTGTCCCGACACCCCTGGCATATCCAGTGACTCAGCACTAATTGGCGTCTCCCACGCGTGCAGGTGGGATTCAGCACCTGCACCCACAGCTGCTGAGCAGGGGCACCCCGCCCACTGGAGGGCATCGGGATGGGCACCAGCACCAGCTCCTGCCCCAGTGAGGGTTTTAGAACTAGCCCCGGTGCTTGTGGGACCCGCACAGTGATGGGGAGAGACATGCGAACGGGAGAAAGTAATTTCCGGAGGTGAGCACCAGGTGACCTGGCAGAGACCGACAGGCTGCGGGAGGTGCAGAGCAGCCACATAGAGGGTCAGGGAAGGACTCTGAGAAGGTGGCACTGAAAAGGGACCTGGAGGTGGGGGAGGAGCAGTGATCCAAGCAGAGAGAGCAGCCAGTGGAAAGGCCCAGAGGCAGGGAAGACGCGGGCATTTCTCCAGCTGCCAAGGGAGCACGTGGGCACGGGAACTGGCCCCTGCTGGGGGCACCCTTCCTCCCAGGAGAAAACCCAGATGTGCAAGGAGACATCCTTGAATAAACATTAGAGAGACTTTACCCTGAAGCTGATGCCGTCAAAGCCACTGGGGACAAAACACGCCACAGAGCTGGGTTCAGTGCCGGCCCCGAAGGGCCGATTGCATGATGGAAAAGACGCAGGATAAAGTATTTCTGTACATGTGTCATGACGGGGTGGGGGCGGGGGGCAGGGGGGCACACATCTCCTCCCCTCTCCTCATCCTCTCCTGCCTGGATTGCTGCCGAGCCTCCTCCCCGGCTTCCCTGAGCTCTTGCCTCCCTCTCCACCCATTCTTGCACAACAGCAGAGGGACCTGCTAGAACCCAAGTCGGCTCCTGCTCATCCTCTGCTCATAGCAACAAAGCTGGTGACATCCACTCACAGTCAAAGCCAGAGTCTCCCTCGGCCCCACCTCCCTGACCTGGTCTCCTTGCCTCTGCCTCCTCTCTCCTTTCAGATAGACCAGCCCCCTCTCTTCATGGGACAGACAAGTACAGTAGCACCTCAGGGCCTTTGCACTGGCTGCTTGCTCTGGCTGGAAGACTCTTCCCTAAGGTATCCCCACATCACTAGCTTCATCTCCTCATTCAGTCTCTGCTCAAAAGGCACCTAAAAAGAGAGGCCTTAGCTGACCTCCTCCCTGCAGCCCAGTATAAAAGATCACACTCCCAGCATACCCCAGCGGCTTACCCAGGTCTCCTATTTTCAGTATTCTGATGCTTTGATATCTGTGGCCTAGCAGACCCTGAAGAGCCTGCCCCTCCCAGGGTTAGCCAATTCCTAGAGATAGTAGCAGCATGCTTCTCAAATGCAAACCAATCCATCCAGACCCCATACCTCACCACCTCCGTTATCCGGCCCTCATACTGCAGGCCACCATCCACCTGCCTGTCACCCCAGGGCCCGGTACCCCTAGGGCAGAGGTGGAGAATGTCCTGCCGTCTAAGGCCCACAAGGTCACCTGGTCTGGCCCTGCCAAGGCAACCACAGGAAGACTAGGAATTCAACAAATCTAGGAGCTTTTTTCATAGCAACATAAGTTTATATTAAGTGAATTATACTAAGCAAATGATGTTGTTAATATCCAAATCTAAATGGCCCTTGACCGAAAAAAGGTTCCCCACCCCTGTCCTAGGGGGACAGCCCCCCCATACTGCAGAGCCACTGAAACCATTCAAACTAGCCAGTCCTAAGACTGCTTACCTGCCTTGCCCATTCCTTCCCTCAAAAACCACAGCACAGGCTTGTGCCCACTGTTCCCCCATCTCTCTCCTCAGACATGCTTCCCCATGGTGGGGCTTGCCCCCTCCTCTTGGGATCTGTGAGAATAAAAAATGTCTTTTCAATGGAAGTCATCTCCTGATCTACTGGTCTTGCCACCTGAATAATAATAATAAAATCTATATTTTAAAACACCAGCCCCCTTACCCTGCATTGTCCTTCTCTAATACCTGTATTATCCCCCAACACATTATGTATTTATTTGCTTGTGGTCTTTCTTTTTCCACTAGATGGCCAGCCCCATGGGGATACAGCAGTATCCCCAGTCTCCGATAACACCTGGCACATAGTAGGAGCTTAGTAAATACTTGCTGAATAAATGAATTCCTGAGTCCCTTACTTCTGTACAGAGTCCCATAAAACACACAAACATATCAGCCATATTTGTTCATCTAGTTCGTGGCATGGATCTTATTACCATCCATTCCTATTTGCCGACACCACAATTTTGATGGGCAAACTACCACCCCCCCAGAGCCACCCAATGATTTCTGCTTGGAGACAACCTCTATCATGTGAGTTTAGTCCTCCATTAACATCCTTGTATTTTGAGTTAAATGCATGAAAAGATACTATAGGACTTTGTTTTGAAACCAT